GAGAAGTATCATAAAATCAGCAGCAAAGGTCTTGGACCTGCTGAATGAAACCATCTCCATTTATGCTCAACAGAAAATATTCAGAGCTTGCACCAGTCAGTAAAGATAGAAAGGTTTTGCAGCTTCCACAATCAGCCTTTCTATATCTGAATGTATATACACATAAACACACATACACATACATACATGTATCATTTCAGTCTTTTCAGGAACATGTTTCATATATACATATGTGTCTTCATGTATGTTTTTTTAGAAACTAATCAGATGATAAATAATACAGCCTGTGTTATTTATTTTAAGCTGCCCTCACGTCTCATTTTGTCAGGATGCAGCAGAATGTTCTATTCAAAACAGATTACAAAAGGTCCTAAGAATAGGAATTGACAGACTTTGGACGCTTAGAAAAGAACTGGAGGAGAAATAAGATGGTGAGAAAAACACATTAGCTGTATATGTTTGTGAAATGGATCATTCACACATAAATCCGTTAAAAACATTTGATACTCAGGCTTCACAACTAACACAAATTGTTTTAATAAGGTAATTTTTTCCTTCTAAAAGTTGATCTATTCAGAAAATATTTTTGGGTCAGTTATACTCAATTCATGTTTTAAAAACACTTTCTTCCTTGGTTGTTCTACTCTGGGAGCTTGCTACATATTTATTCAGTTGAAAAATAATTAAAGGTATTTTGTGAAAGGTTTTACAAGTAAGACAGTATGAAGTATGAAAAGGGAAAAGGTATGGGGCTTTATAAACAAAAAAACTACTTGAATGATTCTACCATACAGTTTCTAATCAACTAATGGTGTGAAGATAAATATTTTAATAAGTCTACAATTTTACAATTGCCCCTGAAGTTTCACAGTATGATGAAAAATAAATAGAACATGGAAGAAAGAAAAATCATTTTATGTTTTTGCATCTAAACCCAGAGTAGAATTTTAAACCGGTAAGGTCTTAAAATTCTTTAAAGTCCTCAGATAATATTCTGTTAACTCAAATTCATCTTAAATTTGGAGAAAAACAAGGTTCCACCAGATTGTACATCAGGACAAAACCTCTTGAAAATATTTTTGCCTGGGACTTTTTTTAGATAAGTCTCTGGACAGGGGTCTATAGTCTTATGATAAGTAAGCCTGAAGCTTCAGGTTAAGAGAATACTATGCAATGCCTCTACCGTTGCTTTTTAAATTTCTGATTAGGGATTGCAACCCCCCCATAAACAACTGGCATTTTAAATTCAGTTTTCACCTGATCATCACTAATAAGTGAATCAGAAACTATAAACCAAAGATATGGTATTTCCTGAGCATGAATAACGCAGTCACAGCTGAAATCCAAAAGGAAAAAAAGAAGTCAAACTTTACTAGAACTTAATGAGGTAAGGTACTAGCATCACAGTGGGGAGGCAAGTAAATTGGGTGCTTACTCCAACACATGTCACATTGAGGTCTGGTAATTTATGAAAGATGAATATTTAAATGTATAAATGATAGGTATAATGTTGTATTTAGATCTTTGAATTATCTAAACAATTTCAAAGCATTCAAGCTATGTAAAATTAATTAGTACAATATTGTATTAGAACTATTTTTTCAAATCAGAAAAGTATGCAAAGTGCAGCTTTTAAATAACATCTTTAAGGAACAGAGAAAATAACAGGAAAAGGGGGTCTGATACTGCTGCTGTCTTTCATATGATCTCATAATGATTTCAGTTGGAGTACTAGGTGACTAGAGTTGTAGATTAGTTATAGTCTATGACTGGTTAGAAAAGATAATGAATGCGCAGACAAGAATACTAAAAATTGTAGATAATAACAAACCTTTTAATTGAAAAAGCGTAAGAAATTCTCATCAAATGGAGAAAGGTGACGATCAGCAGAAGGAATAATAGTGTGTAGTGAAAAAATCACAAAACAAAGGTCTGACTCTTCCTGCATAATGGCCACTGCAAACTACTTATTATCATTGTATATGGGACAGATTATATTACAGCACCTCTCATTATCTGAAGTTTTCAACAGTGAATACACAGACAACCAAAGTCACAGAAGACTGATTAAAATCCAAACCCAAATCCTGCTGGCATATTTACTAGTATTAAACCTATGTAGTACAACCTGAAGTCTCTAAAGTCTGTTAATATTACATATTCAGAACCATTTGTCAAGTATGCTCAATATCACTACTCTTCCTCTGCTACTGAGCATTGTCACTGATAATCCTGATACAACTGAATTTTAACTGTGTCCCCTCAAAAATGAACTCTAGCAAAAGCAGAAAAAGAAAACAGCAGAGGACAAAAAAACCCCAGAGTCTTAGAAAAAATTCTCCTATGGAAGATGACAATGAACTTCCCATTTACCAGATAAACACAACACTATCTCAGCCAGCAATCACATTACATCTTCTTGATTTACTTCCCTTGTCAAGTGAGATCTTTAAATGGAAATGTGAAACTTGTGCAAAGTCCCAAGTGGAAAGTGTGAGAGCTGTTCAATTTATTATGGGTGGTGAGTATTTAAGAAATGCCAGCTAAAGTACTATCAGAATGGAGCATGCAAGACTCCAATCAACTCCACAGAACTTTATGATATTTTTTTCTATCATTCACGGTTTCCACCAGCTAACAGTCCCATTATATTACATGAATTCAACAGAAGAATCTAGTTACGGTCTCAGAGGTCAGCTTCCACTTTTCTCTCTTGTAAAAACTCAAACTTGACATTTTGCTTAGAGAGAGATATCTTCAATTGCAACTGGGGAAAAGTAAACAAGAAAGTTCCCGCTGGTGTGAAGTAGTAGTAAGTTTCAAACCTCTCCAAATGCTCTGGCTCTGCCAAAGAGCATCCATACAAACTCAGTGGGATGAAACTAACTTAATAAGATGGATGGAGGCCAAATAAATATCTGAAGCCATTAGAGAGGATATAGAGATGCCTTTGGGAAACAGGGAGGGTTTGATATTTCAAAGATATTAAAAAGCCACACTACGATTGAAGGGCCTGGTTTTAGAAGGAAGACCAACCTGTTCAGGACAGCATTTGAGCTGCTGCCACAGATATCTGGGAAAGACTCAAGAGTTATAATATGCACAGTCTTTTGCAGGCAGATATGAGCTTATTTTGCACGAGCTGACCAGAAGCCATTCTGCTATGACAGCATACCATCAAGCACTTGGTAGTAAGCCTTGCTGCAAAGCAGTGTGTATTAGATTAGGTAACGTACCATTCTCATGTGGCCCCAAGTCCTCAGGCTGACTCAGAATGCAGGCTACAGTAAGCTCACATCAGTTTGCAAATGGGCGTGCACATACACTCACAAGAAAAAAAAAAAAAGAAAGAAGAAAGATTTCAAGACCAATGTGCAAATGAATCCATCAACCATGAGGTAGGAAGAACTGAGATTTGCAGGATCAGGGATGAGCATCAGTCCCTGAGAAGCAGTTGGGAATAATTAACAGGAAGATGGAGTTTACAGTGTGGGGAGATCAACACCAGACACACTCAGTCAGAGAAGGGGTACTGTGAAGCCCCAAATTTATAACAGATGCTTCTTTTCAGAGGCAGCTCTTTAACTGAGATATGTTAAACATTGGAAATGTGAGACGTACACTGTGGTACAGGTATTTGTGAAATAACTTCTGTCACAGCGATTTGAACACTTTTTTTCCTAGTGATTTGAATGCAATACTCATTTCAAAGTCAATACAACTCAGATACCAATAGCTGGCTTCAGTCATATACCTCAAGATAGCCGGTATTCACATAATCACATAAGCATTGTCCAATACAAGCATATTTCCAGCATATAAGTTATTACCTTCTATCTTTCATTCTTTTCTGATTACATATAAACCACCGATAACATTTATTACTTTTTCCCTTAAACTTTTCAAATACTGCTTTGGAAAGGGAGAAATTTTGTTTGATGAAAGGCTACAAAGACAAAAATGTGCTTGCTACAGATATGTAAAAGATACTATTTTACTTTGCCTCCTATCAATTTATTTTTTTTTATTTAACTGTTCAGTGGATGATGTATGCTTTGGCTGCAGCATACAACATAGATTGTATTACTGATACATACTATTCCCTGTGTAATTTCCTGTGATGTATGTAAAAATATTAACTAATCAATTTATGTGTCTCTGAGATTGATTACAGATTATTTTCTCCAATATACCTGGAGAAAAAAAATCAGTGCTTGAAAGAACTTGGCTAATATCGTAAAATATTTCTAGAAAATGATATGCATTGGAATTCAGAAGTTGCTATGACTCAATTCTTTAATAAGATTTTGTCAAAACCAAAACTCTTTTTACTCATCATATTTTTATTTTCACGTTTACAGGACTTTTAGGAATGGACAGATCAAATTGCACATATTTATATAAATGCACCTTGGCATTGCATATACAAGTTTGGCATACAATTATAAACATAAATAATTATCATACTTGTTAAAGATCTATTTAAGTCTTCTAGTTGGACAATATTACACTGGTTGGTCTCTTATTGAAATTAATTTCTTATCTTCACAGAGTAGAAAAAAATCTACTTTGTATATTTATCATAACTCCAGCAATGGCATCTGGAACTTTAAGACCTTGCTTTTTGTGAGCATCTTCATTACTTTTTGTGCTGATTAAATTGGGCATAATAGTGAGAACATACTGACTTCACTTAAGCAACTGGGGAAACAAGACAAATCTACAAGGAAGAAAACATACGTAATATCCCAGCTTGGATGAAAGCAGCTAAGAAAAGAAAAATAGAAAACCCCGAGCAGCCTTTCTAGAGATTGTTTTTGAATGACCTGCATCTTCTTTTTTAATTTTTAATCTTTTTTAATTCTAACTTTAAGTTTACATCACTGAAAGTCATAAACTTTGCTGACATACACACCAATCACTTACTTTACAGATGCCTAAGAACGAGAAATATCAATTCAAACCAAAGCAAGGTAAAGCAGATGTTTTGCAGTACTCACCTTAGGCACCCTGTGGCATTGCGCAGCACCTGTGATGAATGGAGCTGTATTTTATGATCATCCTGGAGCGGAGAGTTTTCCCATCCAGAGTGAGGGATGATCACTGCATTGGTCAACACTGCGAGGGCATCTTGGATAATTGGCATTTTCAGTGCATCACAGGAGGATAGATTCCAGAGAACTCCTACAAAGAAATAAAAATACTAATAATTAACATAAAAAAAAAGTTTAAATAGTTTTTGTTTTAAAATACCCAAACCAAAACAATATATTTCACAGCATTGGTGTGCTTAATTAGGCTGTTTCTGTCAAGAATAAACCAGACTACACGTAAACAGGCTGAATGATACATGCACGCTTTTCCAGTGGGAATACAGCTTTGAATACACAACATGTAGTCACAGCAACACTGGAAATTTCTCAGAGCTAAGCCTAAAAACTGAGCAGCTGGTTATAATCTAGGCCTACACAGGTTGTGAAGCACATATGAAATGAAGGAGTATCACAAAGAACTTTTTAGGGCTTGGTCTTCAGATATCTTCTTTCTAAGAAAATTAATAAAAACAAATAGTAGAAAACAGGTTCTGATTTATACCAAAATTTTGTGATCTTCAGTGTAATGCAAGTAACTGTCTAGGCTAGTTGGTACTACAAGCAAAAAGACTTCCCCCACACCCTGATACAGCAGTATGGTATTATCCAAGCCTTCAACAAGTAATTTTTTTATTTTGTAAATATTTTACTATACAAATGTGCAGACAACTATTGGTTTTATACAGAAACAAGCTTAATGGTGCAACTCACAAGGAGATTTACAGAAGGTTAAAAAAAACAAACCTCCTTCTCCTTCAATTCATAATGTGCCAAAGAAAAAGAAAAGAAATCAAGAGCCAAAGCTTTCTGAGCACACCTGCAAAGATCAAGGCCACTGCAGATGTGTGATACAGAAAGCAGGCAAGAAATTGCTGGGAACAAAAGACACCCTGCTTTCCACTCCTATGTATATATTTGTGTATTTGCTGGGAAAGCACATTTGATTTTTGTGCTGTGCCAAGAGCCTGCTGCTGCTGGGCAGCTACTAGTGCTTGGGGAAGCTGGAGGGCAATATGTGGTTCTGAAGAACCAATGGTCTTTATTTCAGGCTGGTATCCTTGTAGGAGCAGCTGGAAGAGCAAGCCTGCCTTTTCATCACCTTCCCCTTGACAGCACCTGTCCTCCTCTCTAGAAACCAAACTTACTCCTCCCTGGTCTCCTTCCAAAACGACAGTAGCTTGGCCCCATACGTGACCTTGAGTGGTAAAAATGAGTTTTGACTTTATGTCCATCAAGTGTTCAACCAAAGGAGAAAAACCATTATCATCATCATTGTATATAGGTTGTTACAAGTATGAACATTACAAAAAAGTGCGAGTGAGTGGTAGGGAGTGGAAAATGTTGAAGGAAGACCTTAGGAACATGGACTCAGACATTTATAAATATAAGCAGCAAGAACACCACTTGCTCAAGGCTTTCTTTAGCATTCTGTGGTTTGACAGAGCAGTGTAATTAACAGGAATCAACCTACATTTTTGGGTTTCCCTTTAAAATTAACTGCAGTTATACAATTTCATGTTTAAATTATTTTATATGGAACTGTCTGCAAAGATGATTGATTATGCAGTTTAATGGAAAAAAATTGATCAGCATACTAATAAAACAACCACATTAAAATAATCCACATAAGGCAGAGAGACTTTACCTACAGACCAGAAAAAAAAGCAGAAATAAGAATATTGTTCTTATTTTCATTTAAGAATTGCTAATTTTTAAAGAAAAGAGCCTTTGTTTAAATTTTGTTCTGAATGTCTTTTTGAAAAGGAATTCCACATTTAAAGGACCTTCATAAACACATTTATACTCATTTTTCATGACCTGTTCTTGGCAAGCATTATTGGTACGTCTACTGTTATTGAAATACCTAGCTTTTTGCTGGTTTTAGTTAGTAAAAACAACAATGTGGTTGCTTTTTTTTTTTTTTTACATTTATCTAGACAGACGTAAATGATATGCATGGTATAAAAGCAAAGATTCAGAATGCAAATCTTTCCCCTTTATGGGTTTAACTTAGTTCTTATGCAAGACAAGGTGCTGCACCTTTGTGAAGAAGTCCTGTTTTGAAAGTGAAGCAGCAGAGTGCTTTGATGGCAAAAAACCCAGTATTTTGGGCTTCAAGAGCTAGTCATGAACTGGAAAAGCAGAAAAGAATATAAAAGAAGTGAACACAAGAGACCTGTCTAGCAAAATGCTTAGAAATGCATATGTCTACAGTATTTTCTATTCACTTCAAGTTCTTGCTAATTAAAAGCAAACTTACATAAACATCATGGTAATTTGGTACTGAGGAACAGTTGAGATGCCCAGAAATATTATCTAAGCCCTCTTTCTCTATGGTTTCACAAACCGGAAATTAAACCTTCAGAGTAAGAGTCTAATAGGATCACCAGACTAAAATAGTTATAATTCTACCTTCTCCTAAAATGCTTTGAAATCAAGGCAGAATCAAGCAAAATGGCACTGCCCAGTAAGCCTGGTGCCAGCTTCAAAGTTTTTGTTCCTCAGAGTTTTAAGGTGTGAGATAATCTTCTTCCACCCTAGAACAATGAGTTTTATCTAATTTTAAGACCAAATACTACCGACCACATGAATGAAAAAAGCCACCAATTTTCTTCTGACAAGTTAAAATTTATTCTCACAAGCAGTAAGTCTGCTACTTGCTGAGGTTGGCATTCTACATGCCTCATTGTTACCTTCCTTAATTAAGGATTTGCAGTTATGAAAGGGCACAGGCAATTCACTTCCCATTGTTTGGGCTGAGGATGACCTGGAGCTAGATTTATGTGGGGTCTGAGATAATGATCCATTGCCTTGACTTTGCAAGAGAGAGTGACAATAAAATAAATCTTTTACCCAAGGCCCTTTGCATTATGGAACTACCTGTTCACCACATGACTAGGAACACACTTTTCAAGAATGCACATATGACATATGCTTTAAGACTACAGTAAAAAGCTGGTTACTGAGCCACTTGACACCTTACTCTGAAAGCCCTGACTGAACTGGGTTTCTGAGCACAACAAGCAAATCTGCCAACAGCCTCAGAGGTGTGTTGACTGCCCCCTAAAGAATCTGCATGTCATCAGATGCTCCCAGGAAGGGAAGGAGCTGGACTCACCAGTGATTCTTGAAAAAAGGTGGGACTCAGCCTGCTGTATATGTATGGGAAGAGAGCGGTTAATCCAACAACTCACTAGTCCAACTCAACAGTTTAGCATTTGCAGACTGACTCTCGTAAGAGATACGAAATAAAGAATAAATCAGAGTTGAACATTTCTCACTCAATCACTTGCATTCATAGTATATTATCTCCTTCTTGCTTTTAAAGCTGTGAGGCATTCAGAGTAGGCATTTTGTGTCTCCATTTGCAGATCACTTTAGGTTGTATTGGATGCTTTGCAGAAAGAGAAAAACAGCTATACCAGACTGAACATATCTCTATTCACAGGTTAAAGTTTTTCACCCTTACATATAACAACTTGAAATACAGTGAAAAAGCATCTTGCAATCTCATTTTAAGCTTAAAACTGAGGAGAAACTGGTACTGAAAGTATTCAGTTGGTTCCAGTTGAAAGATGGATTTTGGATTGGAGTATCAATTACCAGTCTAGCAGATACCAGATGAAAGACTTTTTTAAAGGAGTGTACAGGAATGCTTGCTATCGAGATCTTACTGCATCAAGTTACATCTTCTGGAATAGCTTATCAGAGGATATGTGTCTGTTATGGTCAACAGGTTATTTATCACATTAAACATAAATCACCTTTTCTAAGAAGGTCTTCCACAGATAACAATCAAATTTAAAAAATGGTTATAAATTTGGAAGAAATTTGAAGACAATTTGTAATTGTCCTTTTAAAAGACATAACTGCACAGATATAGTTCATAAAGAAAACTGCACATAGATTCTAAAATCTATTAAGGTACTTTAGGTTTGTTGCCACTGGAAGAGGGAACTGAGAGAACAGAGAACAAGAAAAGTTTTTATTTAATTTTCTCTTCAGCACAGTGCAGGCTGATGAGATGTTACTACTGCTAAACAGACAAAGCCATACTTTCAGCTTAGAACCAGCAGTTCTTCATACATAAATTACTTTAAGTTATTACAATAGATCCCGCATCACTTACCCTAAAGAATCAAAGCAAAATATTTATAAATTTGACACCACTCAATTTAATAGAGCAGTCTCAGTCAAAATGCCATTTAGCTGTAGCTAAAACTCATCCTGATTAAACACTTCAATGCATTTTTTCCAGTGCTTTAGTCAAAGTGGTACTTACATAGGTATATCTACAGTCAGATATAACTGACGACCTGATAACCACATTCTTCTCAATAAGGGATGTTTAAGTCAACCTTAAATTTATATTATGGTTTTGCTTATTTAATATTCTTTGTAAATATAAAAATTCAAAGGTCTTCCAACACATCCAGGTTTTTCTTTTCCATCATAATTCAATAGTTTGGTCATGGACTGATGCAGAAAACCATTTGAGACTGCTGGGAGGTTGCATCCCAGGAAGAGTGAACAGAGCATTGGCAGGCTTTTTTGTTTATATGCTGAAGGCACAGGGATACTACAGGGAGTCTCCCTCATGAACATGACAGTTAAGATTGAAATCTAAGTGCTAAATACTCTGCACAGAAGCCAAGCACAAGGGATCTTTTGCTGGAGTCTTTAGGAAAAGCATTTTCTACCCCAAGCTCTCAAGTGCTAGAATAGTCATTTGCTGGCAGCTTTGGCACTGGGATCCCCCACTGTAACTGCAAGGCTGCTCTGCAGAGCTGGATCCACTCCCTGGCAGCAGATGTGGGCTCCCAATATATTACAGAGCTTCTGCTGTAGATATGTTGAATATCAACTACAACATTTCTTAATATAAAGTGCAATAAGACTTCACAACCAGCTCAACCGTCAAGGTGAGGAACTGGCTTGGTAACAGATTTTCTGTAGGAAACAAAAAGTGGCTGATTTGAATTCTGGCACCTGAACAACTCACAGCTCATAAGGCAGCTCCTTAAAACAACACCGTGAAAATAAGTTTAAAATTGGCATAAAAGACAAGGAATTTTCACCAATTTTCTTGAA